TGGTTAGGTGCACTGTATTCTCAATAGTCTAGCTTCTGCTGGAGCATGGCTCACAGGTGCTTATATTATATATTAAAAATAATAACTGTAACTATTAAATAAATTAACTGGACAAAAAGCAAGTCCTGCATGGAACCATGGGACTATGTCATAAACCAAAGCTCATGATCAAGCCAATTCTGTGTACCTGAGGTCCAAAACAAACAAAATCTACACCTGGATAGCATCTTGCATACAAGAGATACTCAAAAGATGTCTGTGGAATACATAGGGAATTAATTTGAAACAGTGTGAAGGATCCATCAAGACCAGCCAGAGGGTGTGGCTGTAACCAGGCAAGAACTGACAGAGGTGGGAATGAGGGAACAGTCAAGGGGAGGGTGGTGTCTGAAGATTTAATGCAACGTAGAATCACAGGACTTGGTGACTGATTAGAGGAAGGAGCAGGGCCAAAGCTGCTAACCAGGTTCCTGGATCCCAGAAAACAGATCATGGGCCATCCCGTAATTAAAAGAGCTGTTCTTGCTGTTTTGTTCCCCACACATTTTATTACAGAAATTTCCAATCTACAGAAAATTTGAAAGAATTGTATGGTGAAGGCACATGTACTCACCACCTAGTTTTCTACAATTAATACTTGGATATATCTCTCATACACATCTATCCTTCTATCCACCTCAGATACTCATTGATTCATTTTTTTTAGGGAACGTGGCAATGGGAAGAAAATAAATGTAAAAAAATGTCTCACCTCCTTAAACATAGAAACTAAATGGTCTGCTCAGGCTCTGGACCATTGGGTCGGTGAAGGACTCCCAAGATGGCTGGGCAAAAACTTGCTCTAAAACCATTACTGGGTAGCTTTGGAAGAGATCACACCCCAAAAGGTGAAACCAAAAGGCTATTGCTAAGTAACCTGAATCCTTGAATGTGACCCTCACCTCCAGGTTACCTGTTCTGCCTGGAGAATCCACCAACTATTGACTGGGCTTACTACAAGGCCAATGGGCCAAGGCCAGGCTTGGTGGATGACTTTGAGAAGAAGTTTAATCCCTGAAGGTCCTGTACCAGAGGGATAAATATACTTTCCCTAGTGGATGCTGAAGAAAAGGAGGATGTGAAAACCTGTGCTGAGTTTGTGCTCTCTCAAAGGCAGGTTGAGGAATATGAGAAAGAGCTGGAGAAGATGAGGAACATAATTCCATTTGATCAGATGAACATGAGGACTTGAATGAAGTCTTCCGGAAACCAAATTAGACAAGAAGTATCCCTACTGGTCCACCAGCCAATCGAGAATTTATAAAAAATTGAGTCTGGGAGAAGTTCTGGCCCTTATATTACACACTCTGACATTAAAGATAAAAATAAAAAAAAGAAAAAGAAACTAAATGTCTACAATGGTCTCAAGCCATTTCCCCACCCAACATGATGAGACACTCCTTGGATGCACTCCTTCAGGACTATTTATAACTCACTCACGTTAGATACTTAGGCGATTACCCTGTAAGCATATGTTGTCCTTAATCGTTGTTTATGCAAGTTTTACGAGGTATCATCTGCATCATTGGCATGGTCTATGGTTTGGAAATACACTCATTGCCTAATATTTCAAATTGTTTACCATCTACATGGAGCATAAGTAAATCTGAGAACATTCAAATAACTTCAGATGTCCATACAATCAAATCAACTCCTTGGGTTACGTAGGACTCTTCCTTCTGTATTACAAATCAGCAACCATAATTTGATGAAATAGGGCTGCACTTATGAAAATTCTTTGCCATGGGGAAATCAAAGTTTTCTTCTGGAATAAAGAATAAGCAGTCCATGATCCTGTACCACGTCAGAGGTGCCATCTTTTGTGAATGACGATTGTGTGGTCTAGATTGGGCCAACCCAGGCTTCCTTTCACTTCCAGGAGAACAGCACCCCATGCTGTGTCTCTCCTCCCTCTCCCTCCCCATCACCCCCCTCTCTTCGTCTTGTCCTCTTTGCACCAGCTAGCCCTCTGCAAACAGCCGACCTCCCTGACCTCATTCCACCCTCTTAACTCCCTTTCATTCTTCACAACATTGCTGGGGCTCCCAAAAAGCCTACCTGATTCCCCCAGGTGGCACGGTGTTCCACAGTCCCAACGTTGCTCTACGAGAATGTCCAAGAGCAGGGCCTTTCTTCATTTTATATCCCAGTGCTTGATGTATTAATAGTATCCTCGGCACGGTGGCTCACGCCTGTAATCCTAGTCCTGGAGGCCGAGGCGGCAGATTGCTCAGGTCAGAGTTCGAACAGCCTGAGCAAGAGCGAGACCCGTCTCTACTATAAATAGAAGATTAATTGCCAACTAATATATATACAAAAATTAGCGGCATGGTGGCGAATGCCTGTAGTCCCAGCTACTGGAGGCTGAGCAGAGGATTGCTGAGCCAGAGTTTGAGGTTGCTGTGAGCTAGGCTGACGCCACGGCACTCACTCTAGCCTGGGCAACAAAGGAGACTCTGTCTCAAAAAAAAAAAAAAAAAAAAAAAATAGTATCCCTCACCCAGGATCCTAAGCCATCCAAGCCTCCATCCCCTGGAATGCTGCCAGTTTCCAAGACAGGGTGAAGGAAACACTGAGTCATGCATCAGAGGCTCTTAAAGCCTTCCACTCACATGTCACCAGCAGAGCAAGTCATGTGGCTATGCCTAACTTCAGGGGGTTGGAAGCAAGGCACCCAAGACACTCTCTGCTCACACTGCTCCTCTTTTCCGTATCTCTCAAGAACATTGTGAGCTCAAGAGAAACTATGCACCTTTGATGTTCTTTTGGTCCATCTTAAGTGCCACTGTCTTTCTAAAGGCCTTCCTGCCTCACCTTCGCGTTCTCTGAGTCCCTAACCTATCTTCCCTCTTCTGCCATGCTGTTTCACTTCCCCTGCCATAGGTGACGTTCTAAGCAGAGCACACCGGAAACCCAGGCAGTCTGACTCAACCGTGACATTTTACGTCTGCCACTGCAACACTCACCTGGCCTTGAAACCCACTTGTTACGACTCCCTGGAAAACACTCTCAAAGGAGAAAGTGATAGCCATCCATGCTTTAGATACCTGGTAAGATTCAGAGACATTCTGAGAGTGGAGAAAGTACTTGTGCTCCAAAATATCTAGGAAACTGAATTTCAGAGGCATCGAGCATCTTTCCAAATCTTCGACTGGCGGAGGCAGTAGCAGGGTAAGAATGATCAACAAGGGATGCCAGTCCCAAACCTTTCAAGCTAAAGATGACATGCACGTGGCAAAGGCCTCAAAAAAACAGAAGAAATCCAAACGGCCACACTTCTAAAAATTAATGAGTTTCTTTTCCTAGGAGCAATCAGCGGGGGAAAACTCATGATCTGAAGGCAATCAGATTGGCTCCAACATGTTGCCAAGTGAAACTGATTGAGAATCACAGTGAAACTGTGATTGTCAGGATGCTCTGGTCATCGGATTTGCTGATGAATTAAAGTTTAACTAGAAATTTCTACTGGCTTTCATGTTCACTGCCAAAAAAATGCATTCAAATAAATGAAAGTATATCCTTCTTTATAACTCAGGCCAGAGCATGGACTTCGGTCTCTCGGGATCTTTTAAAAAATAGATTGAAGCCAGGCACGATGGTGTGTTCCTATAGTCCCAGCTACTTAGGAGACTGAGGTGGGAAGATTGCTTCAGCCTAGGAATTTGAGTCCAGCCTAGGCAACATACCAAGAATCCCATCTCTATAAAAAAATTTAAAAATTAGCCAGGGATGGTGGTGCATACATGTAGTCTTAACTACTCAGGAGGCTGAGCAGGAGGATGGCTTGAGCCCAGGAATTCAAGGCTACAATAAGCTATGATCATGTCAGTACCCTCTATCATGGGGAACAGAGTAAAACCCTATCAAGGAAGGAAGGGAGGGAGGAAGGAGAGGAGAGGAGAAGGGAGGGGAGGGGAGGAGGAGAGGGGAGGGGAGGCTCTAGATCCCACTGGAAATGTGGTTGCCTGGATCAAAAGCATTAGTGTTACTTGAGCTTGCAAAAATGCAGGGGAGGGGAGGGGAGGAGGAGAGGGGAGGCAAGGCTCTAGATCCCACTGGAAATGTGGTTGCCTGGATCAAAAGCATTAGTGTTACTTGAGCTTGCAAAAATGCAGGGACTTGGACCCCACTCACAACCTACCAAAACAGCTTCTGCATTTTAATAACATCCCCAGGAGATCTGAATGCACATTAAAGTTTGAGAAGCACAAGTCTAGATAACATCAATCTAATAGATATAGTAGAGGGGAAGGAAGAGATAAAGAGATGGGAGACCCTGCTAAGTTCTTATCTTATTAGGGAGGAGATAGAGACATCTGTTTTTGGAAAGAAAGCAGGGATTAAAAATAAAAAAGTAAAACAGACTTAAATAAATTAAAATGGATAAACGGCAGTCAAAATAAATGAACTATGGCAACACACAGGATTATGGATAAATCTTAGTAAGTGGTGGGAAAAAAGAAAAGGAAATTTCAAAAGATAATACATACAGCATGACACACATTTAACAAAATTAAAAGCAACCAAAATAAAAACATACACATTTAGGAATATAATAGGAGCAATAAAATATGTCAAAAGGAAAGCAAGTAAATAAAAGTAAAGGCAAGGACTAATGGTAGAGAACCATGTGGTTAGGTGCACTGTATTCTCAATAGTCTAGCTTCTGCCTGGAGCATGGGCTCACAGGTGCTTATTATATTATTAAAAATAATTAACTGTAACTATTAAATATAATTAACTGGACAAAAGCAAGTCCTGCATGGAACCATGGGACTATGTCATAAACCAAAGCTCATGATCAAGCCAATTCTGTGTACCTGAGGTCCAAAAACAAACAAATATCTAGCACCTGGATAGCATCTTGCATATAGGAGATACTCAAAAGATGTCTGTGGAATACATAGGGAATTAATTTGACAACAGTGTGAAGGATCCATCAAGACCAGCCCAGAGGGTGTGGCTGTAACCCAGGCAAGAACTGACAGAGGTGGGAATGATGGAACAGTCAAGGGGAGGGTGGTGTCTGAAGATTTAATGCAACGTAGAATCACAGGACTTGGTGACTGATTAGAGGGAAGGAGCAGGGCCAAAGCTGCTAACCAGGTTCCTGGATCCCAGAAACAGATCATGGGCCATCCCGTAATTAAAAGAGACTGTGTCTTGCTGTTTTGTTCCCCCAACATTTTATTACGGAAATTTTCCAATCTACAGAAAATTTGAAAGAATTGTATGGTGAAGGCACATGTACTCACCACCTAGTTTCTACAATTAATACTTGGATATATCTCTCATACACATCTATCCTTCTATCCACCCCTCCAGATACTCATTGATTCTTTTTTTTTTTTTAAGGAACATGGAAATGGGAAGAAAATAAACGTAAAAGAGAATGTCTCACCTCCTTAAACATAGAAACTAAATGATCTGCTGCAGGCTCTGGACCGTTGGGGTCGGTGAAGGATCCCAAGATGGCTGGGCGAAAACTTGCTCTAAAAGCCATTGACTGGGTAGCTTTTGGAGAGATCACACCCCAAAAGGGTGAAACCAAAAGGCTATTGCTAGTAACCTGAAATCTTGGAATGTGACCCTCACCTCCAGGTTACCTGTTCTGCCTGAGAATCCACCAACTATTGACTGGGCTTACTACAAGGCCAATGTGGCCAAGGCAGGCTTGGTGGATGACTTTGAGAAGAAGTTTAATGCCCTGAAGGTTCCTGTACCAGAGGATAAATATACTTCCCTAGTGGATGCTGAAGAAAAGGAGGATGTGAAAACCTGTGCTGAGTTTGTGTCTCTCTCAAAGGCCAGGATTGAGGAATATGAGAAAGAGCTGGAGAAGATGAGGAACATAATTCCATTTGATCAGATGAACACTGAGGACTTGAATGAAGTCTTCCTGGAAACCAAATTAGACAAGAAGTATCCCTACTGGCTCCACCAGCCAATCGAGAATTTATAAAAAATTGAGTCTGGGAGGAAGTTCTGGCCCTTATATTACACACTCTGGACATTAAAGATAAAAATAAATAAAAAAGAAAAAAGAAACTAAATTGTCTACAATGGTCTCAAGCCATTTCCCCACCCAACATGATGAGACACTCCTTGGATGCACTCCTTCAGGACTATTTATAACCTCACTCACGTTAGATACTTAGCGGATTACCCTGTAAGCATATGTTGTCCTTAATCGTTGTTTATGCAAGTTTTACGGAGGTAGTCATCTGCATCATTGGCATTTGGTCTATGGTTTGGAAATACACTCATTGCCTAATATTTCAAATTGTTTACCATCTACATGGAGCATAAGTAAATTCTGAGAACTTCAAATAACTTTCAGATGTCCATTACAATCAAAATCAACTCCTTGGGTTACGTAGGACTCTTCCTTCTGTATACAAATCAGCAACCATAATTTGATGAAATAGGGCTGCACTTATGAAAATTCTTTGCCATGGGGGAAATCAAAGTTTCTTCTGGAATAAAGAATAAGCAGTCCCATGAGCCTGTACCACGTCAGAGGTGCCATCTTTGTGAATGACGATGGTGTGGTCTAGATGTGTGCCAAACCCAGGCTTCCATTTCACTTCCAGTAGAACAGCACCCCACTGCTGTGTCCTCTCCTCCCTCTCCCTCCCATCACCCCCCTCTCTTCGTCTTGTCTCTCTTTGCACCAGCTAGCCCCTCTGCAAACAGCCGACCCCTCCCTGACCCTCATTCACCCTCTTAACTCCCTTTCATTCTTCACAACATTGCTGGGGCTCCCAAAAAGCCTTACCTGATTCCCCCAGGTGGCACGGTGTTCTCCACAGCACCAACGGTTGCCTCTACCATGAATGTCCCAAGAGCAGGGGCCATTTCTTTCATTTATATATCCCCAGTGCTTGATGTATTAATAGTATCCCTCGCCGGGCACGGTGGCTCACGCCTGTAATCCTAGCTCTCTGGGAGGCCGAGGCGGGCAGATTGCTCGAGGTCAGGAGTTCGAAACCAGCCTGAGCAAGAGCGAGACCCCGTCTCTACTATAAAATAGAAGGAAATTAATTGGCCAACTAATATATATACAAAAAAAAAAAATTAGCCGGGCATGGTGGCGAATGCCTGTAGTCCCAGCTACTTGGGAGGCTGAGGCAGGAGGATTGCTCGAGCCAGGAGTTTGAGGTTGCTGTGAGCTAGGCTGACGCCACGGCACTCACTCTAGCCTGGGCAACAAAGCGAGACTCTGTCTCAAAAAAAAAAAAAAAAAAAAAAATAGTATCCCTCACCCAGGATCCTAAGCCCCTGGAATGCTGCCAGTTTCCAAGACAGGGTGAAGGAAACACTGAGTCATGCATGCAGAGGCTCTTAAAGCCTTCCACTCACATGTCACCAGCAGAAGCAAGTCATGTGGCTATGCCTAACTTCAGGGGGGTTGGAAGCAAGGCACCCAAGACACTCTCTGCTCACACTGCTCCCTCTTTTTCCGTATCTCTCAAGAACATTGTGAGCTCAAGAGAAACTATGCAACCTTCGATGTTCTTTTGGTCCATCTTAAGTGCCACTTCTTTCTAAAGGCCTTCCCTGCCTCACCTTCGCCGTTCTCTGAGGTCCCTAACCTATCTTCCCTCTTCTGCCATGCTGTTTCACTTCCCCTGCCTAGGGTGACGTTCTAAGCAGAGCCACACCGGAAACCCAGGCAGTCTGACTCAACCGTGACATTTTACCGTCTGCCACTGCAACACTCACCTGGCCTGAAACCCACTTGTTACTGACTCCCTGGAAAACACACTCAAAGGAGAAAGTGATAGCCATCCATGCTTTAGGATACCTGGTAAGATTCAGAGACATTCTGAGAGTGGAGAAAGTACTTGTGCTCCAAATATCTAGGACAACTGAATTTCAGAGGCATCGAGCATCTTTCCAAATCTCTCGGACTCGGCGGAGGCAGTAGCAGGGTAAGAATGATCAACAAGGGATGCTCAGTCCCAAACCTTTCAAGCTAAAGATGACATGCACGTGGCAAAGGCCTCAAAAGAACAGAAGGAAATCCAAACGGCCACACTCTACAAAAATTAATGAGTTTCTTTTCCTAGAGCAATCAGCGGGGGAGGCAACTCATGATCTGAAGGCAACTCATGATTGGCTCCAACATGTTGCCAAGTGAAACTGATTGAGAATCACAGTGAAACTGTGATTAGTCAGGATGCTCTGGGTCATCGGATTTGCTGATGAATTAAAGTTTAACTAGAAATTTCTACTGGCTTTCATGTTCACTGCCAAAAAAATGCTATTCAAATAAATGAAGCTATTATCCTTCTTTATAACTCAGGCCACTGAGCATGACTTCGGGTCTCTCGGGGATGACCAAGAATCTTGCCAAATATCTAGGCCATCTTCCGTCTTCTCCTCTCCTGCCAGATCTTCCCTCATCCGCAATTTCCATCTAAAACTCACCAATCCCTGATGAGGCCTGGCCTATTGCACAATGCCATGCCTCTGCTCCTCAGTTACCACTGCCTGATTGCCTTTCCCTGGTCATTGCCACCAAAATATTTCTGTTAATCCTTAAACACCTGACTTCCAAAAATTCAATTATTCTGACAGAGCTAATAACTCTATTCTAGGAGCCTCCCCCCACAACACTTTGATCATGTGATTGTAAGAGCTGTATATGAACTACCTCTTTTCCATTGCATACAATTTTTGTGGCATTATCAATAAACACAACAACACGCAATTAACCACATGCCCCTAAAGGACCAGAGATCATATCTTACATGATTTTGTGTCCATAGCAGTAAGCACAGTGCCTGCCCACACCAGGTGCTCAATAAATATTTGTTGGGTATATGAATTAATTACTTAAAAGTATTGCTCATGTAGGTTAACAAGGTAAAAGTGTTGGAATCTCAGTTCACTCCATAGCAACTCCAAAAGTTTATAAAAATGTGGAGAAGTAGATATAGATACAGATATAGATGATATAGATGTAAATGTAGATAAATATAGACATAGCTATAGATGTACATATAGATAGTTCCAGGTTCAGAATAATTTTCATAATAAGTACCCTAAAAATCCTATTGAATTTAAGATTCTGATTAACAGAGATTTCACAGAGAATTTAGAAATCACTTGCTAGGCGTGCCTTATGTAGGCACAGAAGTTATATTCCTAATTTTCAGAAAGTATACTCTGTGTTTTTAGGGGACCCTGGTCATTTTCGCCTGCCTAGTTTCTATGCCCCCTTCTTTTGGTACGAGCATGTCAATTTTCCTCTGTTCCACTGGATACAAGTTTAAGGGAATTATCAATAGAGATGTCCTGCCTTCCCCTGGCCAAGGAGTGGCCCAAGCTTGTCCAAACATATGCTTTCTCCCCATAATTTGAATCATAAGCATGTGCATACAAGGATGAAACTAGATAGGTCTTCATTGCCTTTCTCTAGGTACCTTGGAACTCCCTGGTTCCTGTTCTTTTGAGGCCGCATTCTTCAGCTTTGCACGATGGCCAGAATTACTTTCTTTTCGTGCCACCAGAGAATCCTGGCTTTGCTCTTTCTGGAGACCTTCCACTTACGTCTTCAGCCCTCTCTGGGAGCTCCACTCCCCATCACACCTTGATGTTTCTTATGCATGATAAGGAATGCAAGCAGACTTTTATGCCATAGGGAACAAAATCCAGAAGGATACTTGAAGAATACTTTATCCCCTCTAAATAATATCTGGACCAAAAAAGGAGCCTTTCCCAAGGCCATATTACAGCCAATTGGTGGCAAAACTGAGACCAGAACACAGGCCTCTGAAGTCCCAATCCAGTGGCCTTCCCACCGTCCCCAAATCAATGAGATCATCCCTCTCTCTAGGTGGTCTTAATACAAATATTCATCAATATAATCTCAAAATTTCTCAGGAAATCAATCATTAATAGGTACAGTGGCTGTAAAAATGTCATGTGTTATACATGCATAAGCTATATGCTTAGCTCATAGGCACTCGAGAAAAAAAAGAAAGGCAAACAGCATCAACATCTGCAGATTTTACGAAGTGCATCTCGTCTGTAAGAGGGAAGGGGAGTGATAGGGCGAATTAGGCTTTTCCTGCCCAGTTGCCTGACAAGTCTCTGCTCTGAAATCAAGATGTTCCACTTGCCTAGTGATTGATTTCCCAAATGGAATTAACTAGCTTGGTCCGTAGCCCATATCTTCATGAGAATCAAGATCCACTTCCCAAGTACCACTAGAATTGAGCTGTACAGCAAAACAATATGCATACATCTCCTGACTTTCTGTTTTCATAAATCAACTCACATGGTCACATGGAGTGGTATAATGGACATTGGATACTTAAAGTGGGGACAGCGAGAGCAGGTAGACGGGTGAAAAATCACCTATTGGGTACAATGTACACTACTGAGGTGACAGGTATGCTAAAAGCCCAGACTTCACCACTGTACAATGCATCCATGTGACAAAAAAACTGTTGCAGCCCCTAAATCTATTGAAATAAATTTTTTAAAAAAATCAACTCGGTCCAGAGGACTTCCCCTGCTCCCTGATCTCATATCATTCCAGGAAAGCTATTGGCATTTGAAAAGAAAAAGAAAGACAAAAGGAAAACTTTCTGTGAATATTGGACTCAGCTGCCAGGTTCTTCAGGGAAAATGAACAGGGTGCAACACCCTCCTACATGAGCCCTGCTTCTACTCTTGCTAACAAAATCCATTCTGCAGAAGAACATTACCCAATCCTACCATCCCCTGCTCCAAGCCCCTCACTGATTCCTGGGTCACTTATAAGGGCACTATCCAATATGATAGCTGATAGTGACATGGAGCTTTTCAAATTTAACTGCACATTAGAAAAAAATTAAGAATTCAGTTTCTTAGTTGCATCAGCCACATGTGAATTGCCCGATGGTCACATGTGGTTATTGGCCGCCATATTGAACAGAGCAGACATGGAACATCTCTATCATTGTGGGAAGTTCTATTGGACAGTTCATTGCTCATTTAGAAGAAAGTCCAAACTCCTTACAGAGGTCTAAAAGATT